TTTCCTTTTTTTTTTTTTTTTTTTTTGATAATTACAATATTGGTCTAATTAACGCCGAAACTTAGAGAGGGAGTTAAGAACGAAATCTCAGAACCGAAAATGGGTTACTCCAAAGGTCGGCAATGGCGGCCACTGAATAATCCTTCTGCCTGCGACAAATTAGGGTTTGAATCAAAGACTGAAGAGCCACTGTTTTCCTTTTCAGATTTTGAACACGAGCTTTTGAAATTTCTGGCAATGGCATCATCCATACTGCAATTTGATATTTGTTTTCGCTTTTGTTTTCAGTCCCATACCATACCAGTGAAAAAGACCTGGCTGATCGAAACTGGTTATCACCAACAACGAAGAAGAAAGGAAAGAAGACGATCGATCAACGCCAAGAAGATACAGTTAAGAGAGGAACGTCGTTCCATGCCAGAGACAGAAACTCTGGCGTCGATTCGATCAGTGTGTAAAGAGAACTGTAATTGTAGTTCCATAAAAGTATTTTCGCCTGACTAATGGCGTAATGGCTGAGTGCTACAGGTTTGAATCCGGAGCTTTCCAGTAAATTCTTCCATTGTTCTTTGGCTTCCATGCGTACTCTTCTCTTGCTTCCTGATTCTTCTTCAGATCCAACTATGTCAGCGATTCGACGGCCGAGTAACTGTTTTTCTAACTGGTGTCTTTCTGGAGAGTCTCGCGGCAAATTCGGCTCTAGCGATTCGAAAATGGCGGAGTAGAATTTTAATGCGTTCTTGAAGCGATTGTAGAATTCGACTCTGTTCAAGCTCGCCTCGTACTCGCCGAGAGTCAATATTTTAGGGCTCAGCGATTTCGCTAATAAGAGAGCATTATGAACTACAGTCGGAACTTCGTCGAGGAGATTGTATAATTGAAGCATGAAATTCACGGCCAACACCTCATCCGATTGAACGCGGAAGCTCGATTCGTTTAGGTCCTCAATCGGCGTTAGAATCGGTTCGAACTCAAAATTCAGTTCCAGAAGCTTTGCAAACTCGGAGAGTCTGTTGCCAGTGGCGCATAGAGATGCCGCCGGTGAATCTCCGAGAGATGGTGCGGGTATTCCGGAGATACGAACTTTGATAGGCTTTCCGGTGGCTCGTGTGGCTAAAGCCTGCAGAAGCGCAGCCCATTGAACACCCTGAACGATTCCGAAGTCGACAATGTGTATTTTACTGGCTGTTTGTGTAGCTTCCAGAATCGCTTGGTTGGCCGTGAGATGTGCGAACTTCGAGTAAGGACAGGCATCGTTCAAAGCTTTGTAAGAGAGCAAGAAATCTTCGGAATTAGCGTCGCTATCAGTTGTAACCAAGCAGTTCTTCATTGCCGTCGGAGATAATCTGCTCCGAAGAGCCTCACCGAAGTGAAACGCAACTCGTTCAATAGGATCTCCATGTTCTCGTAACGACTTACTGATCCGATTAAGAGTTTTTACTGCTCGGTCAGGTTCGGAGTCGCAGAGCCGCGCACAATCGAGCAAGACTTTCAGAAGCGGCGGCGAAGAGGAGTCGATTTCCGGGGCACTAGACGAGCTTTCGACGACGTTATTCTTCTGCAGACTTCCCGACATTGAATTGGCTACTTTAGCATCCTTAACTGGTGGTGGAGATGAAGGCAACGGGGGCAGAACACTATTCGTCTTGTACGAACCTTCCGGGAGAAGTTCTCGGTAGAACAGAGACGGCTGAGAGCCATTAAAGGGATCCACACCATAGAGACCACCAAACTCACCATAACCATCACAACCAGACGGAAGATCGGAGCTATCCGTGGAATCTCTACCGCCGACTAAACTGTCCATCCATTCATCAGATTCAAACTCTCCACCACCACCGCCGCCAAAATTAGGGAAGAATCTAAACCCGGTGGAAGGGTGCTCCAAATTCGAGAAATGAAAAGGCTGGTCGGTAGAATCAGCAGCTCCGGCGACCTGAAACGGGTCGGAGAAGGCGGAACCTGAAATCCCAAAGGTGAAAGTAGGAGAAGAAGAAGAAGAAGCCATTGTTGGGGAAGGATTGGAATTAGTCCAAGGAAGAAGAGGTGAAAGGTGGTGTTGCTGTTGGTCCTGCTGTTGTTTTTGCTTGATTACTTGTTGTGCAATTGCCATTAAATTGCCACTGTCTGCGCACATATACGCCATTAATCTGAAACAGAAACAAAAACAAAAAACCCTTCGCTCCCAAAACCAGAGAGAAAGGAGGGAATCACATTACCGGAAGAAGAAAGACGATGAGAGAGAAGTGGAAAGTGGGAGAAAGCGAAGAAGTCTCTGGACCAGTGAAGGAGAGAGAGAGAGAGGAGAAATAAATGAAGGGGCAGAAGGTGCGAGTGTGTGTGTAGCTGATTGAAGTCAGTCAAGTCCGTTGAAGGTGGCAGAGGAGGGGACCCGACTTTCCCCGTTCATTACAAATTTTCAAGAGGAGAGAGATTTTGGGTCCTTTTTGAGTCCCCAAATTTACTTTTTATTTTTTTCCAAAAATCCAAAAAACAACTATTTGGGTAATTATCGTCTCAATTTTAAAAAACATTTTAGGTAAACCACGTTGTTTTGTTACAAATTCGCTTGCAACCAAACAAAATTCACGCATCCAATTAAGTTGCAGAGAAACTAAAACGAGAGGTTAAACGCTCAAAAGCTCACCTCAACTAGGGACGAAAAGGATAAGGCCAAAGTGAACATTATTCTCATTGGGTTCATCCTTAAGATATCTTAGCCTAAAAAAATTTTAATAGGCTTGATTCTACCTCTTTTCATTTCACTTCCTAAACTTTTAAGGCTTTTAAATTGGTTTTTATTTTGAAAATTATAAGCTTACTAATTTTTTTTTTCGTTTATTTATTTTGAAAGTTGGTTTTTATTTATTTTTAATTAAAATATATAAATAAATAAAAGAAGATGTGTTAATAGAACGGAAATATAATAAATATTTAGCATTAAGAAAGAAAAAAAGTGAAAAAAAGAAAAAAGAAAAATGGAGTACAGTCCTTGTCAGGGCAAGCTGTGTGTGCGGCTGGTTACGTGGCAGTGATATGATGGCGGGCCCTCATTGGTCGATATGACAACACTAACTCATGAACGTCCACCTTCCGCTTTTTTTCACTCTCTTTTGATTATTATCTTTTTTAAAAAATTCAAACATTTACGATTATTTTCTTCTTCTTTTTCTTTTATTTTCTATAATATTTTTTTGCTTTATCGGAAGCATTAATAGGGTTTGTATAATCCAATAATTTAGATAATTCGATCGGATGAAAGTCCCACCTCAACTAATTTAGGGAATGATAATGAGTTTATAATTAAATAATATTACTATCTTCAAATAAACTAAATTTTGGTAACTAAATTAGTCAATAGAGATAAATAAATACATTGTTTAATATGAAAAAATGAAATTTAGGTCATTGGATTGGATTTTATTTTTGTGTCACTCTAGCCTCACCACCCATTTCTAATCCTTGGATATGAGAGTTGAAGAGATGAATGGCCTTCGCCAACCTCACTACGGATATGGTTTCATTGGTTAAAAAGAATTTTGTATTTTTTTTTTCAAAAGGAATTCTGTTTCAACTTCTCTTAGCTATATGAAGAGAATTAAGTCTTACCCACAACTTCAGAATTCATCTTCATTTGTAATTTTTACGGTAAAAATATGATGTAACTAGCTAAGTTTACTACACATCATGCTACCAACTTTTTATTGATGTTTGTATTCTTTGGCATCGATTTCTCATAATTTTCTTACAATATTTTTTATTTATGCTAGAGGTATTAAAGAAAGGCGTCGATAAACTTTTTTTTCTTCTTCCCTTTAACGGGTTGTGAGTTCCGATCTCTATCCTTAGTTCTGAAAAAAGTTTGAAATTTAAAGTAAAAAAATAGGGGAAGAAATAGTTGTAAAGTTGGAAAGAAAAAGTTTTGGTTGGGAAGAAGAAGAGGAAAGGGCCAAGGGGGGTCCTTTATGGGCGGTCAATGGGCCGAATGGGCCCGGAAGGATGGGAAAAGGGCCAATTTGAGTGGGGGCCCACAGGAGTGATTCTCGACAAGCAGAAATGGGACATCTCGAAAAAGCAACGGCGGAGGACACTCCCCCATACTCGCACTTTGATGGGTTCAAAAACAAAGTGAACCCTAAATCCACGTTGGAAAATAAAACACTTCTTATATTTTTTTTTTTGTTGTTATAAATTTCATTTCAATTTCGAGTGGCGCTCCCACTCACGACTTGCAATCCTCCAAACCATTTATTAGATTATACTACTTGAACTATGACAACCATATCAGTAACGGTGTATGTTTAAGCATAAGCTAAAAAAATCATCGTAACAACGATTAAGGGAGTTAGTTTAATTGCAAGTTTTTGTAAGGTTGATGAAGTAATTACAAAAATCAAAAGTTTATGAATATAAAGGTTTCGAAGGTTTCAATAAAGAAAAAAGACCCAATTGGTTATGATAACTGTTTGATAAATGATTGAATTTAGAGAGATTGGATTCCAATTAGAGCCTTAATAAAGTAATCAAAATAATATAAGAAAGAATGGTTAAAGAAAAGAAGAGCGGTTTGATTAGACAAAAAATCAAAGCAATCAACTCAAGCCCCATATTTTCTTTGTTATTTAATCTACGAAGACGACCCCCCACTTTGTGCACCTTACTTTTTCTTCATTTTTCTTTGTTTTTCTTTTCACTTTACCTTTTTTTCTTTTCCCTTTCCTTTTATGTTTTTAGGGCAGAGATTGAGCGATCATCAAACTTCAAAGGTCGGGTTGATTTAATTTTTGCCAAAAAAAGAAAAACAATTGAGTCTTAGTAAGTAGTAAACAAATTGGTTTTCAGTTCGAAGTTCCCCTATGGATGAAGCATACCAAACTTAAACTATTGTTCTAGGCAAGTGTACGAGCATTTCTTTTAATGATTAAAATCACTTTAAAACATGCTTTCAATCATTCATAATGATTGATTAATCACATTGAAATAGGGTTTCATACCATCAAAATTGATTTTAAATGATTTTGAACAAAAGACGCAAGCAATTCTAACTACTACAACATTAATTACTTTCAAACATGCCGTTTATAGATAGATATTCAACAAAGATCATCCACACAACTACACAGATATTATGGCAAATTGGCTGAGTATCACACCAAATCCAAACAATACACAAACTTGAGATTGCTTATACTGGAGGTGTGGTTCACCATAAAAATCTACAACTCATATGAATGAATGGTTCTGATTAGATTAGAAGCACTAATGGTGGAAGGGTTGGTATTTCAGGTCAAATCTTCAATGGAAATGCTACAGGAAAAGCAACAAGTACTTTGTTGGAATATAGTACCTCAGTATAAGCCAAAGTGGGAGAAAGTGTCCCTACATAAGATCAAATAAACCACACTACAACCTTTTCTTTTCCTTCTAAATTCATCAATTCAATCAAATGAAAGTTTCCTCATCATTGTAGTAGTAGAAGAAAAAACACGATAAACAAGACACCCCAACAACTTGGCAGAAAAAGTGGTACTGAAAACTATTGGCGTTTGACATTTTGGTCGAGGCAATTATGACTAGGAATGATGATTTGGAAGGAACTAGGATCGATTGATACTTCAAAACAAACTAAGATCTTTCAGGTATGCTTGCAACTATGCAGTCACCACTAATGAAAAAGTTCAAGAATAAGGAACCAACTCGACTAGGAAAAACTCAGGAAAGTTCACCTCAAAACACTTTATTGAGTAAAAAAAATTTGAAATCTCCTACTTGAATTGGATACATGTTTGTACCTCATAAACGTCCATCTCCTTTCACAACAGTCATATCAACTGGTAGGCCATGGCAAAGAAAAGACAATATTAAAAGACAAGGCATCTCGGCCTGCAGATCGAATTTATGCTTAAGCTCAATGAAATAATTTACTTGTAAGCATAAAAACGACCGACCTGCTTAAGTTGCAGATAGTACACTTAACTTTAAATAATTACCATCCACATGGCTTACCTATAGTGATTTATTGCAGTCTTCTTCCATCTATTATGGTTGAATAAGTCATCAGTATACACGGGCCTTGGGAGGGATTGTTTCCATCTCATCGTCCAATGTGTTCATGTGCACTGGCCTATAGTCCAGTCTGACCTTCTCATTCTCCCAGAATCTGCAAATTCAATCATATTAATAAACACACAGCAGAAGTTAATCAATTGAAATCATGGGCGAACTAGTAATAGAGATTTATTTCTGTTAATCTAGTTGAGCCATGGGTCAATGATAGATCCGGAGTCCCAAGATGTGAAAAGGTGACTGACTAAGAATAATAAAAACGGGGCAGTTTTTTTTTTTTTCTTTCGAAGTGTCAGACACGAGAGTTACCCCAATGTGTGCTTCATCCAGTTCTCATCATCTCTTGTCTGCATAAACAGAGTATACAAAATTACTATATTGAAGTCATAGGGAAGTGTTGAATCACTACTAATAGAAGTAAATAAAACTAACTGTGAAATCTTCACGAGCATGTGCTCCTCTGCTCTCTTTCCTGGCTTCAGCAGAGTGCATGGTAATAGAGGCATTGATCAAAAGATTTTCCAATTCAATTGTCTCGATCAAATCAGTGTTCCTGTTCAACGAATAAAGACCTTAAATCAACTCTTCAAAGAATTCAGTATTAACACTTGATAATTGTAATAATATTTAAAACAAAGAGACAGAAAACACCATGATCCTATTATTACCATATTAAACTCCTGTCCTTGACCTTCACATCATGGAAACTTTCCCATGCCGTGTCAATTAATTTGCAACCTAAAGAAGCAGAACGATAACAAAAAATGAAACGAAATTAAGCAGAGTTGCAGATTGTATAGAAGTTCAAAACTAAAATTCTCTCTTTTCGATTTGGCTACCTTCTTCCAAGGTTTCCTGAGTTCGGAAGACAGCAGCATTGTTTTGCATAATTCGTTGCATGTTCAACCGAATATTTGAGGTGGGAAGTGAACCATTTGCGTTCCTTAATTTGTCTAGCCATGCAATTGTCTTCTCACCAGCATCATTTTCCAACGGCTTTTGCTTTGCCCCTGTAAATTGCCCAAATATAATCATTCAACATTATCGATTTATTATTATTGGTTGAATCAGGTTGTGGGTTCATCATTCATTTCCCAGTTAAAAATAACTAAATAAGCATCTTGCCTGGTTTACTGATCTCTGCTACCCTATTTGCACAAGCTCGTCCAAAGACAACAATGTCCAAAAGCGAATTTGCACCAAGCCTATTGGCACCATGAACCGAGGCACAAGCTGCCTCGCCAGCAGCCATCAATCCTGGAATTACAGCATCTGGATCATTGCCCTTGATTGTAACTACCTGATAAATAACAAATTTACAAATGACGTTAGAGAAGGCAGAAAAAAGTGAGG